TCCTCCTCCTCCTCTGCCACCAGGACTCTTTGCACTCTTACCAGGGCAGGGGTGTAAAAACAGGGTGGGCTTCGATCACGTGATCACAGCTGTTATCTTGACTTTCTCGACTCCTTTCCACGGACGCCCCTGCTTTATGCAAAAATCTAGTGTGCGTGTTGCTGCTTCCCACTTGTGCACAGAAGGTGCCATCAGGCTATGTAAAGATCTGTATTTGTGGAAGGATTTCAGTCTTGGAACCGCAGCGTCATTGCTCTCACACGTTGCCTGTACCTCCAACCACCTCCTACACCTGAAGTTCCAGCTCACTGTTCTTCCTGGTTACCCGAGTTCAACTCTCATCTCATACGGCAGAAGGAGAACACTGCAGAAATAGTTTGAGCAAAATCCCAGGTTTGTCCTGAGACACTTGGGGGTTTTGTCCATACGGTCATCAGGGAAAGGACCTGAGGGATGTCCGAGGCTCGACTCCGTCCCTCCTTTCTCCGTACAATTAAAAAATGAGCTGTTGAAAGTGAGCAGTCCATTCTGAGACTCGTAAAACAAATAGGCACACTTCGGTTCAATTTCAGGGAACCAGAATTCCCTGGCACATCATTCCAAACAACTTTCGGGGTGGGGGAATGAGGGTCCCTCAGTCCCCTCCCCCATTTTCTACTCCGTTCCTAGTAAACGGAGGCTGCAAATGTCAGCCCTTCAAAGTAGACCAGACTAGGAAACCAAAGTCATACAGGCCAATACTACTTTTATTACAGTTAGTCCTCACTTACCAACTGCCTTGTTTAGCAACCATTCAGAGTTACAAGAGTATAAAAAAAAAAATAGCAACCAGTCCTCACATTTACAGCCATTGCAGCATTCCATGGTCACATGATCGCCATTTGCGACCTTCACAGCCGGCTTCCCACAAGCAAAGTCCATGAGGATGTCGACAAGAAATCACAAGTTGCAGTCACATGATGTTTTGCTTAATGACTGCAGTGCTTCAACGACCGAAGCAGAAGTGAGGTTGTATGTCCATCGCAGTCACGTGATGTTTTGCTTAGCGACTGCATCGCTTAGCGATGGAGTTGCCGGTCCCAATTATGGTCCCTAAGCGAGGGCTACCTGTATAAGAGATGTAGTAACAGAATCTTGCAAGTCTGAATGTGCTCCCCCCCCCACCACTTTATCTTCATGAGAACCAGAGAGGGTCTTGTCTGAGATATTTTCTCAGTTTACAGCTCTGCCCCGGACTCGTATTTCTTTTATCTGACCATTGTCTTGTTTGCGGCTCTTCCTCCTGTCCCTCGAGGTTATTCCTTCTGTCCATCCCATCGAGAAAGAACAGAACACCGGGCGCAATCAGAAAAGCAATTGCAGCTGAGTAAACCAAGCGGGTGTGCTTCGGATGAATCAAATGGCGCAGGGAACCAGGAGCTTCCTAAACAGATATATTGATGCAGAAGTAGAGACGGAGATGAAAACAGAGAAGGGGTTTTTTTTAGCCCCCCGCCCCCCCCGTGCTCATGATAACTATGCTTTGACAGGCCCTCCGTAGGAACCGAAGCCATCCAGAAGCGCAGATGGTGCTCCTGGCCTATCCGCAGAGGGATCCCGGCGAGCGCTGAGTGCTCAGTTGTTGCCGCTCCGCTGGTGTTGGCAAACAGGCAAGTGTCAGCCAAGGAGGGACTGGTTGACAAGAGGAAGCCACCCCGACCAGCTGCCACACTCATTATGCGGCGATGCTGCGCTGTCGCGCTCGGTTTCTTCCCGACACCCACGCTGGGGTCTCAAGGCCTCATTAAGTGGCATGTTAATTGCCGTGGCTTTCTGTTTAGCAAATAAGGTTGCCGCTCACCCAGGGCGAGACGGGACAGAGAAGGATTTGGACCTCCTGGCCCACTGCCAAGACCGAAGGAAGAGCAACAGGAGGTGGCGTTCAAATCCTTACCAGCCGACATTCAGCATTAGCGAAGCTTGGAGCAAACCACATGGCGGGGAGGTGGTGGCGGCAGCAGGCGTTGCCACAGAGAAGGCATTAGAGTGGAAATTGCAGCCAGTCCTAACCCTGGCATCCTCTGTGGGCACTGGCACTTGAATTTCCAGACCTTCCAACAACATCAAGCCAAGGAGAGCAGCTACATTGCCCCTTTCATGTGTCCACTGAAGTTATTATTATTACAGGTCATCCTCACTTAAGGATGGTAATTGGGACTGGAAGCACAACATCACATAACCAGGCCACTTAGCGATGGCAGTTCTGGCACTTCCCATTGCTGTCATTAAGCGAATCCCACACCGTTGTTAAGCATGGCATCACATGGTTGCCATTTGCGACCTCCTGCCAGCTTCCCCACTGACTTTGCTTGTTGGAAGCTGGCGGAGAAGTTTACAAATGGCAGTCGTGTGATTGCGGCCGTTGCAATGGCGAGCTGGTTGCCGAGTGCCCAGATAGCGATCACAGGGCCAAGGAACACTGCAACCGATGTAAGTACGAGGACTGGTCCTAAGTACCCCTCGTTCAGTGCTGTCATAACTTCAAACGGTTGCTGAACGAGTGGTCCTTCAATGAGGACTAGCTGTATTATTTAAAGTTGTACGCTGCCCAACTCACAGCAACTTAATAATGCAATCGCAGCACATGATTTCATGCCATCTTTGCTTTGGCGGGTCTCTTTCTGAAATCACGCTCCTCTGGAGACACGGGGGGGTGTAGGTGGCTGTTTTGTCTTGCATTACTGTCAATATTGTGTGTGCAGATCATAGCAGGGTCTTTCTTGAGTGTTTTCCAGCTGACTGGGAAAGACCCACGATTGAACCTGAGTCTGCCAGAACAGGCAGCTGCTCTGTAATTGAGTAATGGCCCTTCTCAGAATGATAAACTTAGGTTCCCTTCC